TAGAAAGCGTTCATGACGTACGATGCATGGGCCTGACAGTGTTGGGCTGGAAGCACGCCCCACCGGCCTGAATGGGACTGCAATCGGCTCCCTTGCTGCACACATAGTCTATGTTGGCCTGCAATGCTGCGTCGCTGGCTTCGGGTTTGGTACACACCATTTTTTGCCCTTTGATGGTGCTGCTGGTAGTGCTGGACTTGGAGTAGGGTGAGGCTGTAGGCAATACAATAAAAGATGAATATACAAAAATTAGATCTTGCAAGATTAGCTTAACGGGTAGGGATTTTTTAATTGTGTAACGCCAGCTAAGTGAGAATTTGGGTTAAATCTGTAGTTGGGTAATCGAAGTTCATCCCATCATAATCACACGAATGAAAATCTAGCCATCAAGAGCTGACTATTTCATCAAGCAAACTTCAAAACTTCATAAAATTTGGTAATGACAAGAATACCTCAAGTGCGTAACACAAATTTACAACTTTGTTTAGGTCGGCAATTTGTAGTGGATGAAGCTTAACATTCCAAGATTTGACTAAATTAATAAACTAGGTGTTGGGCGTGCAACTTGGGCGTATCAATTGACACCAACCCAAGCCTAACATTATAAAATTCAAGATTTGGACAAAAACTACATGTACTAAGGTCATGGGTTTTTTAGGATCTGACCCGAATTAATGACCTCGGATACAACATAGATTCAACATGAACTTTAATCTTTTAATCATAATAATTCAATTTACGAGAACACCTACCTAGTTAAACTATATGGGATCTCAGGGAAGTGCATAAGATAAAATCTGCCTAGAGGATCTGAACAACAAAGCAAAAAGAAGAAAAAGTAAGAAATAACGGAAGAGACGACAAGATTCAAATAAAAGAGGCATCGTGATCCGATTACGCGTAAAAAAAAAAGTGTTAATAATTCGAAAGGCACATGCGTAGATTACAAGTATGTGCTTTTGGCACTTAATTCTTTTGAAATTTATATTCTTACCCTTTAGGGAAAGAAAAATTATAGGAACTTGTAATGAGTTACCTGGACTGGTCCTCCGCGCATAATTCCGATATCATACACCGGTGTGAAGTCTGGCCGGAAAAGCCCGAAATTCTTCTCAGCCAACGAACCCGATTTCTGATTCTCGTTGAACAATCCAAAAATATAGGTCTCAAACTTCCGTCCCGGCATTAATGGCGTACCAGCGCCGGAGCTAACATGCCGTAAAAGTCCCCCATTGTACGAAGCTGCATTTTCAACAGTGCACTGTGGCTCAAAAGTTTCACCCAGCGACGGCCACCCAGTTTCCGCTGCAACAATGTCCACATCGCCATAGCCCAATCTCCTCATCGACATGTACACAGCGTCCATCAACATATCAAACATGTTCGTGTAGGTCTTGTTCGTGAACCTGTCAAAATAGCCTCTGTTGGGCCGGAAAAGAGCAAAATTCGCCATTTTTGGACTGTACCCGAAATAGGGGTAAGGGTTCACCATGAAAGGTGACTTGGTTTCTCTATGAAACTGTAGCATTGGGGCTAAAGTTCCCTTGTCCCAACCGGATCTGAACCGTGCCGTGCTTGGTGGCTGAGAAGAAGCGAGTATGCCCAGAGAATGAGGCGATGAGACCTTAATATCATTAATACCGGAGAGACTCAGAGCATGATGAAGACTTCTCATAGCAGTAACGAGTTTATCTATCAGTTCTTGAGGTCCCCAATGGAGGATTTCATTGCCGACGGCTATGTAGTTGATTTTAGTTTGTGGGTAAAACGGTTTGATGTTGACATTAATCCACCGGCGAGCGTATCGAACGTCGGTGAGGTTGGGGATTTCGCCGTTGGGGACGGTGACTGTGACTAAGATTCCGGTACCGGCGAAGGCTCGGAGGATGTCTGGGTTGACGTCGAAGAGCTTGATCCGGTCGATGAAAGTTTTTTCTTTGAGAAATTGAGCAACTTGGGCCGGTTGTGGTAGGTTGTCGCCGAGGGTGCCATAGTTGACGCCGATCGATAGTACGACGGTGAAGTGTTGGATGAGAACAGTGGACATGAGAAAGATGGCGAGGTTTGGAGATTGTCTCCTGGACATCTCCATCGTTAGGCCTGGTCTTTTGACACAAGAAGAGAGAAGGAAGATCTAAGGAGTATATATATGGAAATAGAGAGAGAGAGAGAGAGGGCAGACGAGGAGGGAGACAGGGAGATTAGAGGGGTTTTCCGGAAAGCGAGAGAGAGGATTACACTTGGCTTAACATGGCAGAGAGAGAGAGAGAGATTGATCTGGTTTTATTTCCGACAAATCTAGGGTTGGATTTTGGGAACGAGATGTAACATGAGAGAGACAGAAGAGAAGAGAGAGAGAGAGGGGGTTCTGGTTTGTTTGTTTCGGACTATATATAAAGTTGGATTTAGGAATGAGGGGAGTAACATATGCTAAAATGTTCAAGTGTGAAACTGACCTTTCTTTTTGGATGGCTGAACAGTGAGTTGCCTTTATTTAACAGTCAAATAAAATTTGCTGTCTCTCAGCAGACGCGCATTGCGCATAGCCACTCAAAATTGTTTTGTCGTTCCGGTGTGAAAAATCATGAGATGATAAAATCCAAACAACCGCATTTTTTGTGTGTGTTGTCCCACCTGGTAGAGTGTGAGATACATCTGGAATCTGCTAGATGCGTGTGTAAATATTTATTTATAATATTATTTAAATTTAATTTATTCACTAAATTTATAACAATCATTAAATTATTGACGACTCTCGACAAATAATAAGATTTATTATAAATGTAATAATAATAAATTATATTCGAGTAACATTGTTTATGTTCAATAGAAAACATTATTTAAGAGTACAACTTGGACAGGTTAACCCGAGTCCAACCCAAAAAAATTAGGGTTTGAACTAAGGTTTTTAATACTTGAATTGAAATTGGGTCAAAAAATTCCAAACTGAATTTAATTTAGGCGGGTCTCGGGTTTAACCCGAATATTAAAATCGGGTTCAACCCGAATATTTATAACGATATAAATACATTTTTAAGTCTAAGGTTAATCTGTTCTGAATTTTTTATTGTGCGCCTCGCCTCCCTCACTCACTATTTAAGCAGTGAACTCTATATTTGTATAGGGATTCTAATTGTGTTTATATGGGTTTTGTATGGTTGTGGTTGTATTATTTCAAACATTGAGTTCTTAGTATTATGATTTTTATGTTAAAAATTTGATTGAAGTTGTTGATTGTTAATTTAGGTAAATATTATGTATTATATGCATCATGTTTAGAACAATGAGTTTATTTTGAGCTCAACCCGAATTGAATACGTAAAGTGGCCCGAAATCATTAATCTGAATTTAACCCGAACCCGTCCGAATTAAACTCGGGTTAACTCGAGATAAGGTTAAGATTAAAAATTATATATCTAAGATTAGATTAGAGTTGATTATCCTACCCGTCCGAGTTACACTTTTAGTCATATCATCTCATTGACTAATACTAAATAAATGAAATTTACTAATTCAACCTCTTATTTATCCGAACGTATAAATTATTAGTGATTATTAAATTTGATAGGATTTATTAATTTTATATATATTTATTCAAAACAAGTTAATAGTATCTTGTGATGCAGGATGTAGTCAATATCATCGTCACGTGGTTTAATTATCCTATTGAATAGTTTTATCTAAATATCGCGTACGCGTTGCATGTATGTGAGAGTGACACAGAGAAGATAGAATACAGCATCAATTTGCTGAAAGTTCAGTAAACTCTACTGGAACAAGAGTCATAGTCCAGGTTCCGTAACCAATGTAAGCGAGTCCAAGAAGCTTACAGAAGACAAGTCGAGCCAAGTTTTAATAAATACTATTAACTAGTAAGCTCGACTTAATTGTCATATTCCCTGTATGGATAGCACGAAAATGACCTATACAACCTCATTAACACTGTTGAATATGTTGTGTCACTCTGATTTCACTATGTTTGTTTCATTCATACTTTCTACTGTCAATAGACATTACTAGATGATGTCATGCTAAATTTTTTACAAAATATCGATTTTACCCTACCTTGTGTCACCCACAACTTTCACCCTCCCCCTCCTAAATAGCTTTCGGTCTATCTTACCAAAAGTCTTCTTCCATCCATTGTCCGAACTCACTCCATAGAATCTACTGACAACCCTCTTGCAATAGATTGTCCTCCTAAACCCATCCCACGTTTTTTCGATATATACAAATATATGTATATATATCTATATACACAGTGAAAGAGTGAGAAAAGAGAGAGGGGTGTAGCGGAATACCGTCGGCAATGGGGGACCACAGACATTTGCAGGAAGGAGGGGACCAAGGTAAAGTGGGGAGTAAATTGGGTAAAAACCCTAGAATTTCTACTATTGCAGGGCTTTTTGTGTAATTTCACCTTTAATTCCATTCATAGGCTTAGTTATCCCAAAATTAAGGTGGAATACATGGAACCTTGGTAGACATTATAAATGACCTCATTTTATACGGGCCGATTTTTTTAGTCCAACGTTTATCTCATTCAAAAAAAATGATCCAAAGCTGAATTTTGTGACCCTTCAATTCTTTTGTCCAATCCAACTTGCTTTATCCCTTTCTATCCCTTAAACCAAACATCTCCGTAGAGAATCAGCTACATAAACCTCTGTTCTTGCTAGGATCAATGTCATTTGGCCCGACACGTGCACCATTATGTGCATGTGCTTCAACACTCCTTGACGTGACTTCGTTGTAAATACATTCTCTATGTCTCTTGAGCCTCCTTGTTCTCTTTTTCCTTTGTTTTTTAAAGAAAATGAATTAACACATAATTATATCAGTTGCAACAGGAAATAGTTCCACCACTTAATTAGTTGTACATTACTGCTAAAACAACTAATACTGCATTGATTAGATGAACGCCTTTTGCCAAGTAATTCGAGATTCAGGTGTAGTGTAAGGTATTATATCATTTCAACTTCATCAGTGAACTGTAAAATCTCAAAGCAATCATGATTCTCGAAGATCTTCTAACTCTCTCAAGTCTCAACAATATTGAACTTGTCAGACACCAACTTTATACTCTTGAGGTAAAGATCAGGAGCTTCGCAGTACGTAGAGAATTACAAATCTTGAACATGAAAAGGGGTTTGCTTAAAGTTACCTGTTTTATTCTTGATCCGTTGGTGGTGGTGCAGGTGGAATTAGTTTTGTTGTTTGTGGCGTGCTTAATATTATAAAATTACTTATTAAAATTTTTGATTTGAACCATGTAAAGTATAACAAAACAGTTACATTAAAGAGTTACACAAAAACGAAAAAGTTACAACAAGATAACGAAACAGCAACATCAAACAGATATACATAACTATTTGTTTAAACAAAAAAAATACTAACCCGATTACAGAACAGGAACTGTTATTGAACTTTAGGTAGATCAAGGTTAGTGTTTGATACTATGCCCTTAAGACAAATTTCGCCCCCACACACGGTGCTTATGGAAATCGAGCGTCTACCTCCCAGAATACAATGATCTTTATACAAACAGAAGTAACACTCCAATTTACTCATCCAACGAACCAAAATGTGTTGTGTACTCTCTAAATGTATTGTCTTAATGTCAAAAATGATATATTCTAATGTTTACCTTATTATCGAAAATGGAGTGACTAATTGAATAAAATTAATGAAAATGAGGCTGAGTATTTATAGACATATTGATGACTTTTTAGACAGTCACCTTACTAAAGGATACAACCCAGAATAACAAGACACTAGACACTTTGAGTAACTGTTCTTCATGAACAATCACAACTCAAAATTTCGAACTGGTGAGAAACAGAAATTCGAACCAGTGCAATCCAACGGGTACCAAAAATTTATTTCAGGTTAAGAAATTCTCGTTCAATTAATTAAATAATTTTTTTCCAAAAAGATAGGGTTTGATATAAACCACACCCACACCCCCACTCGAGCCCGGCCCGGCCCGGGTCGTGGCAGGCGGGTGGCGCGCTCCCGTGTGTGGTTGAACTCAAGGCATGTAGGTGTTCGCTCCACTCATAAAACTATAGTACTCCTTGGGGCCCAATTCCATAGAGCAAATTTGGCCTATATATATCCATATTGAATTTCTTCTTCAACCAATGTAGAATTGATGTCACATCCCACATTGTACTTCCTTTATTTTCACATTTCAAGAAAGTTACTTTGAAACCTAATTTCTCATTCATTTCTTATTTGATTTGACCAAGTGAATATACTACATTATTTTCCTCACGATGTAGAATATGAACCCATAAAATTTTATTCAAAATAACAATTAGGTCTCACTTTAATTTAGAGTCAAAGTTGACCAAAATTAAAATTTTATACTTAAAAAACTATTTTGGTTCAACAAGTTTTGTTTGTAAAAGGGCCCTCGGAAAAAAAATCATTACAAAACATAGATTAACAATTGCCTTTCACATATGTTTTTTCTTTTTTTGTTCAGAGAGCCTTTTACTTTCGTTCAAGATAAGCTTAGACACATCGTTTTCCAATCCACACTCGAAAACACATATGAATATTGGGTTAAGAATAGAGTGGGGATAATGCTAAATAACAAATATTTAGAGTATCACCCCATTACACATCTAATAACTCTTACCTTCATTAGGGGATAAGGAAAGAAGGGTAAAGTTTCTACTTATATCAAAGCCCTAGGTTATGCATACACTCCTTGTATCTTGTATGAAGTGTAAATTTTCCTTATATTAGAGTAATGGTAAATAATCTAGAAACACAACTAGAGATAGAAACAACTACTCAGTGGTAATCCGGAACCTTTATACAAAATGACCCTTACATGACTGATAAACAAAACCAACAACTAATCGTATTATTCGGAAAACAATTAAAATGCTAATGACTTGAGTCTTCTTTTGAAGATTAAAAACTCCATAAGTATTTGCTGGTATAAAAAAGAAAGCAGTGCAAAAATTGCAATTTGAATACACCCTTCCATATTAAGCTCCAAACTAACACCAAAGACAAATAGTAATTTCACAAAATCAACCTCTGATTATTATGAATAAACACAAGCACTCGATTGAG